GGTTCCTGCCACATATATATATATGTTGCTTCATTTTATATAATCACATCAGGGTTTACGGTTCCAGACTTCAGCACGAGGTAGAATACTCAAGGGACGAGCACGTTAGCGGGGTCGTCATGCCAACCATCCGTCCTCGAATTGAAACTGCGGCTGGAGCATGACTCGAGCCCGACAACGCTACTTCTGACAACTGTCCACGCACCCTTTAAAACTCGGTTCAGGCACGCCCCAGGCAAAGTCGTCTCACCGACGCCCGACAAGACGCGAAGGGCTATCTTCAGAAACAGGGTTGTTTGCATACCTCCACAAGATGCGCATCAGTAGACAACCCCACTTTTCCCCCGCACCTCCCGCACCTCCAACAAGACGATCACTTGTAGCTAAAGCTTTCGTCGGCCCCACCGAGTCTCAAGCTTGTTGCAGTCCGTCCGAGCTGCTTCCTTCACGGCAGGCTGTCTTGGAACTGGTCTTCAAATCGCCGACGACTGCCGGATTCCCACGGCTGCACATGTACGCATGTTGCACAGTGGCTGCAGGGAAATTGAGAAGGTCGCTGAGTGGTCGTGCAGACTGCAGGTGCACATGATCAACCTTCGCCTGGGCGGGTCTGTCCAGCGATTTGATATTAGTTCAGACCGCTATCCAGAATTCCTACAGTGTCAGCTATGATTGATGCCATGATTGCACTGGTTGCGATATCGGCAAATTTTGCCAAGCTCAAGTCGCCAAGTACTAGCCTCATTCTCATTCTGAAGCGAGGATGACACACGAGAGCTGCCGGGGATTGGCATCTGCTACTCCCTAAGCTTTCCACCATAGGCCTATGAGGGCTGCCCCACAAGGTTGCTTCGAGAACTTGGGACGTCCACTATGAAGTCTGTACTGTTGCTCCTGAAGTCCAACTCGCAGGGTCGTTGTTGTGTCTGGCCTTATGGCCTCGTTTTGTTCCTTAGTTGCGAGCCGACCGCAGGGCAGGCATGCCAAAGGAGCGCCAACACAACTAAAACGCAAGCTGCTTCTAGCCATCAGTTCAGCAATGACGGCTCGGCGATGAGATCCGAGCTTCCGAGCCAAGAGCTGGACAGCGAGCGGCAGCTGGAAGGCGGCTCGATGCCACAATGAGCCGTACAGTAGCATTCGGCCGCATGCAAAGGTGGTCAAATTGTGACGAGACCCAAACGAACGACACGAGGGCTAAGTCATCAACGTGCTCCTCCTTTGTACGTCCTGGGAGGCTGCGTTGTGGAACTGCAGGACCTGTCTCGGGCCGAACTGAACGGCCAGCGCGGGCTCTGCCTGGGTGCGCTCCTGGGCTGCAAAGGACAAAAGGAGGAAAAAAAAGAGGAAGCAAAGCACAGCTCTTAGAGCCGAAGCCTCTTTTTGTCTCGACGTAACGAGGCCTCCTGCAACTCCTGATCGCATCGGCGTCCGTCTGGACGACGGCCGAGAGGTGAGTGTGCCACGGGCGAAGGCACGAGCCATCATCGGCTTCCGCGAGGTGGGCGCCTTGGAGTCCCCCCCGAGCCCTCCAGCCTATGCGCAGACGCACGTAGGCACACAGAGGCATGCCGCGACATGTCCGTGGTTCGAAGCACTGATGACAAAAGCCGCGATCAGCCAAAAGCACAGAATGAATCTCAGTGGATCGCATCCCCACGGACACTCTCGGCACTTACAATACCTGGATTCTGGCTCGCCACTCGGTTTCCATGCACGAAGACCCACGTACGTAACAAATCATGTGGCGCCTTTCGGCCCATAGCCGCGGAACAATTCAGACTGAGGTGTTGCCTGACAAACTGCATGTGATAGGTGGTGCTTTACCAACATTGGCGCAAAGGCTGATCATCAGCATGACAAGCCTGACAACCCGAATCCTGCCACAGTCATCATCAATCATGAAACAGGTGGATGGCAAGGGCATCGGTGTCATCGCGTTGTCCGCCATCCCCGCAGGCACGGATCAGCCTGAGCTGCTTGACCCCAGGCTCTGCATTATCAACCTTCCTCCCAAAGCGATCAGCCCTAGCTCGATGAATTTGAAGACTCCGCAAAGGAGGCCTCCTCCTCCGGGAGCGTCCAGCCCTGTGCATTGGCAGCAAAGCCCCGCGGCCGCCGGCTGCGCTGCGGAAGGCAGGTGCTACAGCTGTATCAGCTCGCTTTTCCTGATCCGATCGGTCCCCCGCTTCTTGCGATGTAGAAGTTGTGCAATCTAGTTACTGTCGTTCAACTCCCATCGGGGTTCGGGGATGGGGATGGCCAGAATATGCCAGAATGACATGAATGCCAGTGCGCCAAGGATCACTGCGAGGTAAACTGCGCTTCCCACGGATGAAACAACTTGCCTCCTTCGTGCAAGTTCCGCAAGGATCCGATTCGTATCGATTCGTCATAGCGTTTGAGGCAAGCAGACTGCACAACTTGCTGCGCAGGGAGTGGATCGGCTAATAGACCTAGCTGCACGGTGCTGCATGGCCTCCCCAACATTTTTCATGTTTTTTTCAATTCTTGGGTGTGCCCTGCGCCAGGCCATCCTCGAGCTCTGCTTCTTTGCAGCAGATACGGGGCTGTTTCTGTGGTATTCAGTGGCTGTGCTCCCGAGCACATCATGGTTATCGTGCCAGGAAGGCTACAGTGAAAATGCACGACGTCACAGCAAGCATTCATCTTCGTGTTTGGAGGTGTCCTCCCATTCAACCATGTGGCATACGGCCCCGAGAATGCTGCGCAGAAGCCCTGTACCTAAGTACTTTACCTTGCTTGATGTAGTGTGGATGCAAGCTTACCTCCCAGGTTATTCGCTCCAAACCTGACAACTGCTTGTTCATTGAGATGCAGAGTCCCCACCCTTTATTTACGGATTCTTCGGGCTGGTAATCGTTGTGTTGTAGAGCCTCGGACATGTCAGAAGAACAAGAGGATGCCTTTCGCATGGGCTTGGAGGCTTTCGCAACGCCCGAGCAGACCGAAGTGCGTAGTCTTCTGGATGTGATCTGAGGCGATGCGTATGCGGCTGCTTCGCCGCGATGGCAGCTTGCGTGTTGCGAGTTTCAGTTCTTTTCGAGCCAGGTGAGAAGGAGTTGCAATCACTGCGCCGCAAGGATCGGCCGGATGAGAAGACTCTCGACGGCGTCTTGGCGACCAACGCATTACCGCGTGGGGCCAAATCCGAAGAGACTGTGACTAGACAGCAGGAAGTCTCCAAAATCAAGGTCCAGAAACTCCGTGCCGTGAAGCACAACGGTCTAAGTACAGTCTCCAGACTCCGTTCTGGACGAGCCAGGTATTGTGCTTGCTGGCCAGCAGATTCAACCACAGCTGCTCTCCCAACGCGGAGTACCTGTGGGTCGAGGAATCTCAAGTGGAGGAGGCCTGTTCCCTTATTGCCACTTTGGGCTGTGAGTCCCGTGACAGGACACTGCTACCCAAAAGCGCATCGCAGTGTCTTTGCAGGGCAGATTCCCGCTGTCCAGGTCCGTGCCGTTCGGGCCGTTCAGCCCGGAGAAGAGCTCTGTGTCAACTACTTCGGTGCCCGGCTTGGCCTCGTTTTGGTCTGTGTCTGGTTGTGGTCTATGTGGTGCGTCGCCTTGGAGTGGGCCAGCCCAATTTTTAAGGCCAGGCTTCGAGGTTTGTGAAGGTGGCCAACTGATGGATGGTGGTGGAAGGAGTCTAAGCCTGTGTCAAGGTATAAGGTGATTGCTTGTGTACACCCTGCTGCGATGGCATAAAGTCAACACAGGAACAGTGTAAAAGAACGCATGGTCTTCGGGGGAAGTGCGTTGCTGCGTTGCTCTGTGCGTGCGTGGCTATGGGTTTTGGTTGCCGGGGTGTAATAACTGTCATTGACCGCCTCCTTTCTAAGAGTCCATAATGCCACTCAACAATAAATGCTGCTAGGGCCTACCAGGACCATCTGGATCGTTGGATTTTTCAGTTGGCAAAGAAGCTTACTCGTCAATTTTGATTTCCCAGCAAGCTGTCGCAACCAGTTCCGCGCATATTGCAAATTCCCCAACAAAGAAGAGGATCCAAGGAGCTGTTGCGGCAGACCTTAACTAGGAAGGCGGCGAGAAGAAGCATGAGTCATGTTCGCTCGGGCACACTGACATGGCACACTTCGAAGGCAAGGGCTCCAGAAGAAAGCTGGTCATGTTTATGCAGAGACCGCACCCATGCCAAGAGAGGTGATGCTGTAAAGCTGCCCCGGCCGGCGAGACAGGAGCAAGACTGCCTCAAGTGAGTGCAAGGACCAGTTTGAGTCTCATTCAGTCCTCGCATGCCCTCGCTAGGAGCAGTTGCGCACTGGCTTCCGATTCGAGTGTCGCTGCTCTGTCTGCGTGGCTGCCTCGCCGGAGTGGGGATCCCTGGAGTTTCGCCGAGAGATCAGCGCAAGGAGGTTGTTCCCGGTATTTCCCGGTACTGGTACTTCGGGCCTTCGCTGAGGTCCGATCGTCAGCGGCAGCGGCTCACACGCCTCAGCCAGGAGATCTTGTCCTGCTGCAATGCTCCCGAGCGAGGGCTGCGGATGGCCCCCTGGCTTTACAGCGACGGTTCCGAAATCAGCCGCGAGGCTTCACTTTCCAGCTGAGGCTGAAGAGATGTTGGAAATCATGGGTAAGGCCATGCCTGTAGCCAAAGTGCCGTGGTCCTCCAGCGTTTTCCAGCCTGTTTTGAGGAAGGCATCAGCGCTCCTCGAAGCGTGGCTCAAGTCTGCAACGACGGCTGCTCGGCCCAAGCTGAGCTCACCTTTGCGGCTCCGAGATTCGCGTTTTCCCTTCAGGCTTCGAGCTCGCCTTACTCGCCGGCGAAGGGCAGGAGGTGCAGTACTGGGCGCACCTGTCTTACGAGGCGCCCTGCTCCATCTAGAAGCGTCCCTTGTCCTGAGGGTCGCTCGCTGCTTCTTCCCGGCTCTCATGCTTCCAAGCCTGTGCATGTGCACTGAGGCATTTTGCCGTAGCGGTGCACTGAGCCATGTCCCAGAATCCACTGTCGCTAGACATGATGACTCAGGCGGAGCCTTGGATGACACCGGCGAAGCCGGGGATTGCAGCCACACAGCTGGATTCGCCATCGCCCAAGGCGTCACAGGCTACCACAGCTCCAGCCTCGCTTGCATCCGTGACGACTCCAAGAAGAATCAATCGAAAGAGAGAGGCAAGTGAAGGTGACTCACCGGCGATGGGCTCAGCTGGAGTGCTTCAGACACGGCCTTGCCTGATTCGCCTGAAGCACTCCAGCTGAGGCCATCGCCGGTGAGTCACCTTCACTTGCGGCTCTTTGTCGATTGATTCTTCTTGGAGTCGTCACGGATGCAAACGAAACTGGAGCTGTGGTAGCCTGTGACGACGCTGTTGCGTCACCTCCAGGCCGAAGAGAGCACGCAGATGTGCTTCATCCACTTGCTGCACTTCGACAAGTATGTCAAATGGAGGCGGCGCATGCTGCAGAAACCCTCTACGTGCCGAAACCCCAGCTGCCTGGGCGCTTGCGGGCCTACACTCGCAGAGCCCGACAGGAAGGGGCGACCTTGCTGCATGCACCCGTGATCCGGGCTTGCAGCAGCCTCGTCAAAGGGGGCCCTCTGCCATCAACACATGAGGTGCTATTGCCCGGAGACACTCTTGGACCTCGGCAGTGACATCAACAGGCAAGAAGGCCATGAAATCTACGCGGTGGAAGCATTCCCGGAGCTGTTGAAGACTCTGACAAGGGCCGCTGGCATGACGGTGGACCAGATCGCTTCTGGAAAGAGCGTTCTGCCTCGAGAGATTGCCAAGATGCGAAGAGGCTCACAGACGCTGCCCAAGCAGGGGCTGAACAGGTCCCTGAGTCTGTAAAGTGGCTCCCTGTTGCTTCTGTTTTTCTGTCTGCCCCTTCAATGAAGTACAGACCGGCGACAAGCTCAAGCTGCACGGACCCCTCGCCGGCTTCGGTCTGGTGCTGACTAAGAGCTTCTGTACAGGAAAAGACGCATCGCACTGGCCCGTCGTTCTGCTGCATCGCTCGACTCCTTCGCTCGACTCCATCGCTCGACTCCATCGCTCAACTTCTTCTCTCTAGCCCATCTCTGCTCCGCATGGAAGCCCTGCGACGTGAATACTGGCTGCAGCTGCTGAGCGGGTGTGCGTGTGTGTGAGTGACTGTTTCTGCGGTTTTTTCTCCATTGCTTGAGGCACATCGATTGGGCTGGGGTGAGGCCTACGAGATGACACGGCGACATGGCGAGCAGAGCATGCCAGAGCATGGGGGAAGGTGCAGGTTGGCACAGAGCACGCCCAGGCGGATGCGACACTACGCCCAGCATCCTCCCACATTGACCGGGTGCCTGGCTGAGCACGAGGTTGCCCTCGACAGCGATTTGTCGAAAGTTGCATTGCGCACCTTGGTTGACTCAGGAGAGAAGGCCCGCACCAATCCGCAAGGGGTGACCTTGGCGCAATTGGCGGAATGTTGATGTCTTCTAACGGTTCCACGATCAAGCTTCCCCGTTCTGAATCTCGAAAAAGAGGTACGAGCAGGCCCCTGCCCGGTGAGGAGAACCGGAGCCCAAACATGAAGGCTGGGCAGGCTGGTGCAAGCACAGTCTCCGTGTGTCCGATGATCCGATGCGCAGTGCTGCTTTCAGGCCGTGAACCTCCTGGAAAAAGCAGGTCCAAGCGCCAGGACAAGAACCTTTATTTCAGCTGCTCCGAACAATTTGACAACTGCTCTTCACGTGCTCGTGTCAGATCGGTCAGAGTAGTACCAAAGGTGTCTTCTAGCTGTCGAGCTTTTGCTGTCTGATTGCACCATGTATGCTGCATGCTTAACGGCACAAACTTCGTCTTCTACGCATGGCCAAGCACTGGACATTAGCAAAGAGGAACCCACGAGGGCAGGCATCTGTTCGAGTTTATTCGTTATTCCTCGCTGTCAGCTCGCTCTCATGTAGTTTTATCCTTGTCCCAGAGTGCTCTGGGCAGGACATCGTCGATGGATTCCATGGACTAGCCCCAGCTTGCGAGATGAATGCGAGAGGCGCTGTGCCTCCGCTAAAATGCGCTACTCGTAGCTGCTTGCACCGAACAGATGCAAGAGTTCGTGCCAGAGGAAATTGCAAAGGAGCTTGCAAAGCATCTCCTCTGACTTCTCTGCCTCTGTGCGAGACCTCGTCTTCGTCAGTATGAAAATGGCTAGGTCCACGCCCATTGTAGCCAAGCGTAGCACACAAGGCCGATGCTTAACAGGACAGGGTGGGGCTCTCTCTTCTTCAGCCTTCCTTCCAAGGCGCGGGCCACCGTGGCGATCTTGACGGAGAACCGCTGCAAGGGTTGGCCCAGGCAGTGATGATGGTGCACCCAAAAGAGGCCGCAATGCGAGGTGTGGATGCAACATAGACAGACGAACACTTGCGGAAAAGTGCGTTCTCATGCGGTCTCGCTTCTACAGTACTGCGCGTGTTTTTTTTGTTTCAGCTGTTTGTCGCTCCAGGCAGCAGTTGGCTGCTCGAGCTTCCGTCAGATAACTGCTTGGGTTACATTGCATGATGGCCTTGAGCACACGGCCCTCTTCGTCCGCGGTCAAGGCTGAGGTGACTCGGAAGTGCACTGGAGCCGTAAGTGCTTGCCGAAGGGAAAGCAGCTGGCAGCTTGCACTGAGCTTGCTGTCACAGGTGGAGGTCTCGCAGGCACAACCGGACGTCATCATATACACCGCAGTAATCAGCACATGCGAGAGGGTCAGCAGGTGGCAACAGGCCTTGCGCTTGCTAGACAGGCTGGAGGAACAGGAGCTGGAACCAGATCTGATCGTTTATAATGCTGTCATTTCTGCATGTGAAAAGGGCGGACAGTGGCAACCTGCTGCGCTGTGCCTTTCAGACATGCAAGATGCTTCGGTGCGGAGTGATGTAATCACATATAACGCAACCATCAGCTCCCTGGAGAAGGGCAACCAGTGGCAGAAAGCATTTTCAGTGCTCTCAGACATTGAACAGAAGATTCGGCCCGCGGTGATCACTTACAATGCTTCTATCACGGCTTCTGGACGAGGTGGACAGTGGCAATTAGCATTGGAATTATTGGATGTCCTCGAAAAGAGGAGCCTGGAAAGGACAGCCGTGTCCTCTAGTTCGGCTGTTTGCTCATGTGCGAGGGCCGCACAGTGGGAACTGGCCTTATCTCTGATGAGCAAGTTCCAAGCACAGGATCTGCTTGCAAACGCGATTGTCCTTGGTGCAGCTATCAGTGCCTGTGAGAACCGTGGGAGGTGGCAGCATGCCTTATCTTTGTTATGCGACATGCATCACAAAAGGATCCCACAGGATGTGATTGTCTATGGGGCCGTCATCAGTGCATGTGAGAAAGCCGGGCAATGGAGCACAGCTCTCGGCCTTCTCTCGGAATTCCTCATCAAAGGAGGGCAGCCAGACGTAATTGCATTCAATGCTACCATCAGTGCATGTGAGAAGGGAAGCCAGTGGCTCCACGCAGCAACGCTGCTGCAGCAAATGCATGACATCTCAATTCAAGGAGATGTAGTAACCATCAGTGCAGCAATCAGTGCCTACGAGAAAGGCGGTCGTTGGCAGGACGCTCTAGCATTGCTGACATCTGTGCTGGAACACGATGTCAAGCTGGATGTAATTGCCCATGCTGCGGCCATCAGTGCTTGTGAGCGGGGCTCATGTTGGAAAGAGGCCCTGCATTTGCTAGAATCCAGTTGTGCGCAGAAGCAGCCAGTCAACGATGTGGCATTCGACATGTCTCTCCGCGCTTGCCAGAGACTAGGCGGTTCTTGAACACACTTCTTGTTATTGTGGCATTGAGAAGGAATGGAGAGAGATTTCAGTGAGAAGCAGCTTCGAGAGCAGCCCAGGAAAGGCTCCCAATGGAGCCACGCCGCAAGGCTCTTGCAGACCCTGCAGGAGGACTACCTCCGATCTGCGGGCCTGGCCTTTGGCGACCCGTGGCGGAAAAAAAGCTTTTCCGGGCGGAGCTACGTCTATATTTCTGACGAGATTGGCGATCACTATCAGTAGTACTGTGAGTGCTTCACACTTCGCCTGGTTGCTACTTTGGCCTCCGGTATGCCAGGCACCTTCGACCGAAGACCAACAAGAAGCAAAAGCACTGCCGGCATTTTGCATGGGAGCACGGCAGTGTTAGCAGGTCTGCGCGATCTCGCGCCTTGCTGCAGATTCGATATGAAGTTTCCCTTCAATCGTAATTTCAGGTCCCATGTCGGTCCCCGAATCTTCGGCTTTTCTGGAAGTCCAGTGATGCCAGGGTGGAGGATGCAGACCCAGACTTCGACTTTGCAACGGCCCAAGCGAAAACTCAGCCTCACAGCTTCTGAAAGATACACCTGCCACCTGCCGTCTTGTCGTTACTTGTCGTGACAATGCGTGTAGTCAGTTGCTGCAAAACGATGCAGTGGGTTTTCAGTTTAGCTTCGTGTTCTGCGAGTCGGTGTGGCTCGCACCAGCTTCAAGCAAGGTGTTGGACCATGCACGCATCGAGTTTGGCCGTGGACGACATCCAGGCCCGTAAAGCTCAAGACGCACTAGATGCAGCACATCTTAGTGATGAGTCTGAGTTTGAAATACCAGTTGAAGACTGGCGATTGCCGTGCAATCGAGGTGCTACGCCCGCTCATGGAGCTCACGTTACCTACAGGAGCTTGAACAACCAGCAGCAAAGGTTTACGCGGTAAGGGGCAGTTGCTGTGTTGTGCGTTTGCTTGTCTGTTCCAGGAACGGCCGATGCACAGACTACGAGTCACTCCGACGCACTAGCACTGTCCAAGATGGACGTGCGGCTTACGGAACTTCATCTTTGTCCTGGCTCCAGCTGGTAGCCGGCCAGGTGTGCCAGTATGTACCAAAACGCATCATGGCCGTTGCGAATACAGTTCTTACGTCAACGGGAGGACCTGGACCGTAGGACCAGAACGCAGCAGCCAATGACTTACAGGAGGAGGAGCGCCAAAACGCTAGCTCAGCCGCGACGGAGCCTTCGTGAACTTTCTGGAGGGCCCTCGCCTTCCGAGAGCCATGACATCCAGACCTGTCGGTGCGAGATCTTCGGGTGCCGCGGGTCCGGTGCTTCTGGCGCTCCTGGCTTTTCTGGCGCTGGGGCTTCTGGGCCGCGGCTTCGCAGCACCGGGAGCCGATGCCGACTACGAGGCCGCCTTCAAGAAGAGGCTGAAGCAGGTCCGTGACGCGCCAGCTACGCCGGCGCCCAAGAAGGCGCAGAAGGCGAAGAAGTCCGAGCCCTTCCTGAATGCAGCTTTCTTCGACGGGCGAGCTGTCGAACCAGAGTCCGGCAAGAATTTCCTGACGATGCCAGAGTGGAACGTCCTCCTCAAGCTGGTAGGCGTGTTGATGGTTCTCACGACCGTTGTTTTCGCGTACAAGATGTCGCCCTGGGGACGTGGCTTCTGACCTAAAGCCTGTGAGCCAGGTCTGGGAAAACAGCTCGAGTGCTTCATAGTACTGGTCTCTGGTAGGTCTCTCTACCTTAGCCTTATTCATTGATCCGGTCACCCACTCCACTCCGCTCCTCTCCTCTCCTCCAGTCACTCGCTCGCTCACTCTCTCTGTCTCTCTGTCTCTGAGCCGCCCCACCGTTCCTCTAGCTATGTTAGCCATGCAGTGCAGCTGCGGCTGAGGCCGGTGGTCAACATCTCAGGCCGCGAGGCAGCAGGGCTGTGTGTTTCTTTGTCATGGCTTTATCGGGCTTGATCCGTCTGATGCAACTGTTTGAGCGGCATAGATTGACTTTCAAACGCCACCTGCAGCTGGTGTCATGCATCAGTTGCATCCCGTCAACGACCACATGAGTCAGAAACACGAAGCAGGAATGAATGTCTCCACTGCTCCACGCAATCCTCAATGGAACTGCGTGGCCTGATGGGAAAGAAGCGCCAGTGAATCGCATGCTTTGCGCGTCTCTGTGCTGCGGTCACCCTGCGGGCGAGAGATGCCTGCGGGGTGGACACGCGAAAGCAAACCCGGCTTCTACATATCGGAGGCGGTGGGCCGAGAATATTGCCGAGAAATGCCAGTGCACAGAGGGAGACCTGCCAGGGCCTGGGGCCTGGGGGCCTGGGTCACTCTTGGCACTGTCAGGTTATCCCTCGGCTCGGGACAGCCAGCGTCATCACTGCTGCTGTAACCATCGAGCGGATGATCTCCCAGGCCCCTATCAACTTGAACTGGGAAGACGGACTCTGTTTGGCAAATCGCACTGAACACACCTCTCTAGAGCGCAGTCTCTTAAAGAAGCTTCTTTGACACCTGAGTCCGTGCGCACATCTTCCGGGCGCCTGCCAGCTGCAACCCTGAGCGACAGGCCTGCGACACCGTGCATTCTCCAGGGTTTCAAGTCCTTTGCAACAGCCGTTTGTTTCCGAGTGCTCTTGAGGTGGGTATTCACCGCAACAACAGCCAGCGGCAGTCATCAAATGAGTTGTGACCTGGTCCAGGGTGGGTGCCCGGGTTCTTGTCCCCCTCTTCCCACGAAGACATCGCCATTTATCAAAGTCCTCTGCAAGTATTGAAGCAGCAATAGTGCGTGCCATCCTGCCTGCCACCAGCGCCCCGGAGGCCTTTCACTAGCAACACCAGCACCACCAGCACTGCTGCCCCTGCCACGACGGACGGTTCCCCCACGATCTACGAAGGGGCTGCGGCCACTTCCGTGATGGGAGTTTGACATGTTTGGTATTGGATTCTCAAGATCCATTCCCCATTATGTGTGACTCGACCTGGCAGGTGGAGCATCTTCCGCGGAACCATCGGTGCCCTGCCTGGGGTAGCTAGGTGGCGAATTGGGTCGCTCGTTCCGGGCCAGGCGTTTCGGGTTCTGGTGCAGTCTCGAGTCGCATGCCCAAAAGCCACAGAAGCTGCATCATTTTGCAGCAGGCAAGCAAGCGGCGCTGAACTTTCTGCAGTTCGGGATAACACGAGAGATGAGGCTTGCCTTGGATCACGCATCCTGGCTTCGAGAGGGTGTCTGCTCGTAGGAAACCAGGAAGGAAAACCTGGGTACCACAAGATGCCATACAGTGGAATTCGCATCATTCTCATGTTGATTGAGGTGGTGCCGCCGAGCGTTTCCATCATGTTTGCCTGTGGTGCAGTCGGCAGCGTGGCCACACTGTTCTGCAATTTGTCACTACAGAAGCTCGCAACTTCGCTGTGGCTTTTGCAGCACTTGCCTCCTCGTTGCTCCGGCTTGCAAAAAGACCCAGGTAGGTAATTTACATGCCTTCGTTGCAAGCTCAGGGGTTCCGTTTTCTTCGCTGCAGTACAACTGGACGATCCAGGAGTTGCAGATGCTTTGTCTGCGTGGTGTCCGACATTGTAGTGCATGGTGACGGTACTGTGTCAATACTACCGCCTGCTTGCTTTTGGCAGCAGTGTTTGCTTCAACTTGAGCTTTTACTATTGCTTGGTGTGAAACGATTCTGCAAGCCTGCTTGAGCTGTTGTCAGTGTGCGACAGGGTTTGCAAGCTCTCCCGGTGTCACTACCTGGACCGAATGGAATCCTGATCCATGAGACCGGTTGCACATAAAGCTTTTCGGCATTACTGAGACTCCAAAGCGTGCTCTTCTCCCGGATCGCCTTTCCTGTCGCTTTCCAGTGTCTAGGCCCTGCGTCGTCCATTCCATGGCATGTTGCAAGTCCCCGCGTCCAAAATCTAGCCGAGAGAGACGAGCTGGGCGTCGTTGAGGACACCTACAGGCACTTCAAGGTGGAGCCTCCAGTCGCTGCAGGCGCCAACCGTGCATCTGTGCCTGCCATATTTCGCCCTGCAAGCGTTGCTGTCTGTTCATGTCTGTTGCATGGTGTTGCGTGCAGGCTTTCTGGGCTTCGTTCGGCAGAATGTGGCCCCCGGAATCTTTTGGGCCTTTCTGCGTGCTGGATGCGGCACAGGCACGAAATGGACGACACAGCGAGACATGTGCAGAGAGCGCTTCGTGTCAGACACGCCAGCAAAAGGGCTCTACGGAATCTACATGGATGTACGTTGTGGCAAGTTGGCGCAACAACTCGAACATGCGAAGTCAGATCCTGAGTGCAAGACGACAATCAGCCTTGAGCCTACGTTGCCTGCAGGTGGAAGCCTGTATTGGGGACCCTCGGTCGCTGATCAGATGCAAAACCGAGCGAAGGCAGGGAAGCCTGAAAGGACAAGAAGGGAGTCTCAAGGGTGAGTGGCCGCCTTTATCTTATCCTGTTCGTGAGGCATATGGACTCCAACTTCCAGGCCAGATGCAAGGGGTGTTTGCATATCATACTGTGAGTTATAGTTATATATGTGTGTAGACATCCGCCATGCTTATGACAGGAATATGAGCCTCCTTTCATGGTGCTCTTGCTTTGCAGCATGAGCATGTGTCCGGAACGGCCAAGCTGTCGGTGCGATGTATCCTTGAAGCTCTCGCCCCGGCCAGGTCCTCTCTGCAGCTTTCTGGCCGGTTTGGCCACTGGTGCCTCTGGCTCCTTGGCGACGCAGCGGCTTGGGAGGAAGACATGAAGTTTCAACATTTCGCTCAGTTGTTACTTCTGGGCAACAAGCCGCTCCCAAGCCAAGAGGAGTTCAGAAGGATAGCAGCCACGACGAGTATCCATGCATCACATGGCCTCAAAGGGCCAGAAACGAATCGATGTCCAGATAAGTTGGGACAGTGCAGAAGCCCGTGCCATCCCGTGCCCGACTCCGTCCTGGCTACCTGAAGCCCCGGTCCAGCTACTAGTTGCAGCTCTTCCGAGTGTATGTCTTGAATAATATGTCCCGGACTGTCACCCTCGAAAGAAAATGGGAGTACAAGTGGTAGTTTGACAGGGCATGCCGATAGTATTCTTGGCTTAGCTCTACTTGGTCTTCGGTTTGTCTGTTTTTCAGGTGGATCCACAACGTTTCGCTTGTGGCGGGCAGGATGTCAGCGTTGGGCGAGACAACGCAGGCTCAAACCCAGCGACCGGTCCACTCCGCTGCTTGAGCCGCATTGGTCTGCCTTTCCGGGGAAAGCTCTTGCACAGGCTCCACATTACACGACTGCGGCGCTCTACAAGGCACGGCGCGAACTCGGAGACCCGGATCCGAGTTGGCACTGCTGTCGTGTGCTCCAGCAGGCAGACTGCCTGAAGGCCTCAAGGTCGTAAAGGATGAGCTATGCTAAGGATTGAGCCTCGTCTATGCTAATTTCGGCTCACGGCCTCTCGGCTGCAGTTCTACGCAACGGCCTACTGAAGCACATGCCGCAGAACGACATGACAGAACATGCTACTAGCAGGGCTAGGACCGTCTTGTCAGGCTAGTAGGAGAAGACCGCTGTGCACAACAGTCCTGATTATCAGCTGCCTCGCCGGCCACACGTGCTGTGCGAGCTTCAGACCAGTGAACAGGCACCGTGGGGATTTTGAAGAGGGCCCAGGGCCTACGGCTGGAATGCTAGAAAACCTCATGTAGTGACGCAGCCCTCGTTCACCGGGATCCTCAGAGACTGAGCCTCCAATCCCGAAGGATGGCAATCAACGCTGTCTCCGTGGCGTTGCTGAACGCGAAGCTCGGCCGAACAAGCCGTTGGGTAAGAGCGCTGAACGATTATTTGCCCTCACACCCCATGATTATTTCCGCAAGTCCAGCTTTTGTTCGGGGTGCCGCATCCCGGCCTTTGCAAACACAGGTGCGACATCTTCATCGTGCAGCCGGCATAGCCGGGCCCTGCCAACGCGCTAGATGGCTTGCAATGCGGCTGTCCAAAAACGCATTCGTCTGACCAATGTCGGCCACCTTTGCTGCGCAGCGTAGATGACGACGACCTCTTTCGCACGCGAAATCAACACACAGGTGTTCTGGCGCTGTCCTGAAAGCCGGCTGGCAACTGCCGTGGAATGTGTGAAGGCAGAGCGCTTGATGGCAGTGCTTACGGTGCCAGTCTCGGCCTCGCGACTCGGCAGGTCACACTCCAAGAGCCTCAGCAGAAAGCCGTCATCATCCGCAGCATCCGCATCAGGCAAGCCACATGGCCAAACGAACAATCATGGGGAAGTTGTGGTGTTCTCTGAGCTTCGCAGGTCCGGGAAGCCACGGCGTCGTCTTTCTGAGCTGCTTGTTTGCAATTCGGAGACGGCTGCAAAGAGTTTTTGTACTCAACTCGACGAGGCTTGATGCACTCGATGCTGGGGACTTGAACCAGGCAGGTCCAAGACCACAAGACGCCGTCACTGCATGAAAGCTGGCCACACTCAGGCAGATTTGATGGTGGACTTGGAGAATTGGCAGGACCGGCTCCGAGCCTTTCTTCCAGAAGCAACTCCCTGCTCTTGCCAGGGGAAGATGGTCACATGGAGCATCAGCGTCTGCAGCTAAGGGTATGAGCGGAATCTTCATGCCAAAGACTTCTTGATTTCGTGATTCAGGTCAGTGCTGCATTCTTTGCTGGGTGTTTGGTTTTCGTTGTAGGTTG